ATGCGAATGCCACAGTTTGGCGGCCTAGGTGATCCATGGTAAGTCCTCCTGCCGCTGCATGCCTTGTCATCGTGATGACTGGGCCATCGGTGTTCAACATTAGGTAACCAGTTCGCAGAGCGAGAGCGGAAGCGGGAGCGAGAGCGGAAGCGGGAGCGAGAGCGTCAAAGCGTTGAATCATTGTGAATTCAATTTTCAGAGTGTGACGAGAGCGACAATTATAATATTATTTTAAATTAAATATTATATACAATATAAAATATATTCATTACAAGCAATTGATAGAATTATGCTAACATATATTATTAATTTTCTACCTTTTATTCGAGACTAAGGACTATAAAAAGAAAAAGAGTTCAAGACTAAGGTAAATGGAATTATTAAAGTATTTCCAGAAATGCTTTTGCTGCTGCGGTTTATTTCATGGAGGATGAGAATTGTATAGTTCGGCTTAAGTTCTATTGGGCTTCCAGAAAATAATAATAATAATATTTCTTTTTTTTATCAACCCACTAAACATGCTAGGAGGAGGGTTTGGACGAAGGAAGGCCACACAATTTCCATTATCCGCCGTCACTCTCCAATCGTCTTCTCTCCTTCCATCTTCCTCTCTTTGCTCTTCTGAAAAATTCAATTATCCAAAACCTTGAATTAATTTGCTTGCAGAGACAACTGATCTTGCTTCCGTCGCTGCCCAATCTACTGAAATCAGCTTCAAAGTTTCACTTCAACAGTTCAACCTTCTTCTTACTTTCTCCTTTTGCATGCACCGCTATCTTGATTGTTATTCAATTGGAGATAAACAAGTACAAGGAAAGGTCGCGGAGGAGATCCCAACTGGAAACGTGATCTCCCAATATCCAACTGAAGTTCTGGTTGGAAAGGAAGAGCAGAGGGTAAGAGTTCTAAGTTCTCTGAAAACCCGAGCTCCAGAAAATAAATCGCGCTCCCATGAAAAAAATTCGCAATTTTTCTGCGATTTCCAGAAAATCCGTGTTTTAACGGATCACCCATCCTTCCCTTGGTGGTTTCCATGACGTCCAGCATCTGGTGCCTGTTTGTACTTCCTCTCCACTGACCTTGCATTCGTTATGCGTAGCCTACCTTACAATGTTAAACCACGCCAGAATCTTGCACCGCAAGGCCTGTTCTGAGAAGGGTTTCCCCTCCATGATCTCTTCATTGTGCTGCTTCCAAAACTGCCAATGGATGATACCAAAATCAATTCCTTTGTCCTCGTTGCTCAGGTTGGAGAGAAGCCATTTCTTGAATGGGATGCGTTGATCATGGACAGAAATAGAGTGCCGAAATGATCTCCACAGCCCCTTCATCTTGGAGCAGTTGCGCAGTACATGCTCGGGGGATTCCTCAACTTTGCTGCATTGAGGACATTCACCATTTACTGTGAGCTTCCGTCTTAGTCGTTCCTTGTTAGTCTGAAGTCGCTCGTGAAAGGCCAACCACAAGAAATGCTCGATGCGGCTTGGCCCTTTCCACCGCCAAAAATCCTTTCATTCACTGTCTGACTCGGTGTCCATGTCTGCAACCATGTTGTAAGCCGACTTTAGTCGGAACCTCCCATCCGACTTAACTCCCTAGATAGTTTTGTCCTCTCCCAGCTCTGGTTTGGGCGTCTCGGTTCTTGCGAGCAAAGAAAAGATGTGATCAGGTAGTTTTCCATTTAATCTCCCCCAATCCCATTCCCCACTTTCCGTAACCCAGTCAGCAACAAGTGAGTCCCTTTTAGCTTCGTTCACATCTTCCAAGAGGAAATCTTGGAGAATAATCTTGCTGTCCACCCATGCTTGTGTCCAGAATCCAGTTGACTTCCCATTCCTAATGCTCCAACAACATGCCTCCTTCATGATCGGCATCGCCTTGAGGATCTCCTTCCAAAGGGGTGAAGGGTTGCTGGACTTCATAGAAACAATGTTTCCATCCCTATGCTTGAAGTATTTCCCTTTAAGGACCTGCACCCACAAGGCGGTCTCATCATTAAACATTTGCCAAGCTAACTTAACCATGAATGCCATATTGAGATTTCTAGCAGACCTTAGCCCAAAACCTCCCTGATCCTTGGGTTTACAAATAGTATCCCATGGGATCAGGTGGATTTTTTTCTTGCCCCCCTTCGAGCCCCAAACAAATCCACTTATCTTTTTATCAATCTCATCACATATGAATGCAGTTACAACTTCAATGGCATGGGAGGAAGGACGTGGCGGTGCAGGTGCAGGTGCAGGAGGATATGCAATGACATCCCTTCGGATTTCCCGCGAACATGACGAGATTCTTGAAGAGCTTCTTCAAGAATGAAAGTTTCTCAGGTGGCACATTTTGTTCTGGTTCACTCTCCAACGTCATTGATGCAAGTTCCAACCCATCAACCTAAATAATAAACATGTTAGTCAAACACTCTTTGTGTAGCTAAAGTGATTATAGTAAATAGATATTGTGCTTACCAACGAACCGATCACGGCGCCACGTTTGGTTACCCATCTTTTTGTGAACTTGCGGTACCAAACCATGTATTCATCTTGGTACCACATTGGTCTCGTCATTGGGATGCCATCAATTGCATACGTCTGACGAGACTCTCACATTTCAATCCATCTATGGTGCTTGGTTGGCCAATCACTGATTGTACCCCGCAGATCCTTGTTGTACTTGTGGAGTGACTTATGTACGTCCGGTGGTGGGAGAGGAATCGGTTGCGCTCAATTATATTGTCAGACACATCTATCTGGGAGGTGCCACTTGACAATGCTGTGGCAAATCACAGGCAACTTGCACGACCGGAGTCGATGATCCTCAGGGTATCGCAACTCATACAAATCCTTTGCTCCGTTCGGATACGGATCCCACTCCACCTAAGTTTCAACACAACAAATAAATTAAAATCGAAGCAAATAATTTCAACAAATAAATAGGATTCATAATCATAAAAATAAATCATGGGCCAAGACAAATAATTTAAACAAATAAAATAGGATTCGTAATCATACAAATAAATCATGGGCTAAGACAAATAATTTCAACAAATAAAATAGGATTTGTAATCATAAAAATAAATTATAGGCTAAGACAAATAATTTCAACAAATAAAATAGAATTCGTAATAGTAAAAATAAATCATGGGCTAAGACAAATAATTTCAACAAATAAGGATTCGTAATCATAAAAATAAACCATGGGCTAAGACAAATAATTTCAACAAATAAAATAGAATTCGTAATCATAAATATAAATAATGGGCTTAGACAAATAATTTCAACAAATAAATTAGCATTCATAATCATAAGCTAGAATGTTACCTCGTTGAATTCTATACGGTCAAGATGTTGGCGGTACTCGTCTAGAGAGGTGAGTCTCGTGATAGCTTCAATCCATCTAGCACTATAAGCCCATTGTCGTAGTGGCTCTTCGGGACCCCAACTGTTGGCAGGGCAGATCGGAGCGAAAGTAGGAAGGTGCTCCCAAACCATAGTTGGAGGATGAACATGGGACCACCCGCTTGCTTTGTTTTTGGGTTCGTACACTTGCACAACTCCGAATATATCATCGCCAAACAAGCAGATCCCCAACTTTTTCTCTCAATCTCGTCCCATCTTCCAAAAGAACTCGAAGCCACATACAATGCATATTTCCACCAGACTTGTTCGGAAACAAAAATCCTCCAACCAAACAAATCAGGTAGATGCGAGCATAACTCTCTATCTGAGCATCCGTGACATCCTTCGGTAATTCTCCAGCGGTCCTCACTAGCCAAGGTATCAATAGCATAGACTTGCATAGAGGTGGTACACGACGACCTTCTGGAGCTTCCTCGGGGATGTTGATGCCTAAACGCTCGCTTATAAATTGGCCCCAACCATTCAATGGTTTCTGTGAACATTCTATTATTGCATCACCATCGATTGGAAGCTCTGTCAGCATGGCCACATCCTTCAACGTAATCGTCATATCTCCCTCCAGAAGGTGAAATGTGTGCGTTTCTTTTCTCCGTCTTTCCACCATTGCCGTAAGAAGGTTGTTGTCCATCTCCATTCCCACAAACTTCCGCACCCTCAGCAATCGTGCTCTTTCAATGAAGGGCTCGATACGATCATCCCATTTAGGCAAGCGAGATAGCGGCCGATGGGTGATTACGTCAAGTTGTTCCTGTAGAAAAAAAAAACATTAATTATTATACAAAAAAAATTAGAAGAATACTATCACATTTTAAAAAAAGAAAAGTACATGAGGAAGTGCTTACCGGATCTGCCGCCCAAACACTTTCAGACCGATGGTAAGGTTGCTCATCCAACAAATCGGTTTCTCGAGGTCCGCCTTGAATGTATAATCTACGATCGTAAATACTCGGGTCCATCTCGACAATTTTGAGTGATAGAAGTACCAAACTAAAGGAAAAAAATCTGATGCGGAAGATCGCCGCAACCACAGAGCATATTTTTTCTTCAAGAGTGGTGGGAGGAAGAGAGGAAGAAGAATGGAGTGGTGTGAGTTTTGGTGGAATGGAAGGGGTATTTATAGGTGTTGTGGGACGAGGTGGGTCGAGTTTAGGGGACTCGAACCAATGCATCGTGTTTGCTGCCTTCGATCCGAGTCAAAAGCAGCTCGAGGGATGTCTGACGTCATCGATCCGCGTCTAGCAGATCGATTCCCAAGCACTCGATCCACTTGCATCGAGTTCCGCCCACTCGATCTGCGTCACCACTTCATCGCGGATATGGCCATCAAACGGTGTTGATCGTTCCCTTGTATCTCGATCTAGGGTGGAGCTCTGCCTATGTCATCGATCCATGCCAGCTAGTTCAAGTCCTCTGTACTCGATCTACCTAAATCGAGTTTAATAAACTCAATCAGCGTCATTCTGTGCCAACCAATCATGACCGTTTCACTCGATGCACGTGGATCGATGGCTTGGCAGTCGGTCTGGTACTAGTTCGAGTTTATTGAACTCGAACCGTGTCAATCTTTGGTAGTTTGGAAAATTTTTATAAAAGTGACGTATTCTGGGAATTAATTTTAATTATTACTGTAATAGACCACCAAACCGACTAAAAGAAAACCAATCCACGCCACAACCACTACATATAATTATTCTAGCTTTCCAAAATTCAAACCATATGATTGAACAAAAGAGTACATGTTGCAAGGCAAACTGACTAAAGTTCGATTAAACCGCAATTCACATCTCATAAACATGAAAAAGGAATAATCATATGGGAGGAGGAACACATTCGCCACTTGGAAACCTTCCAAAATGCTCAGTGCCAGTTGTCATTCACCCCCTCTGTTTCTGCAAACAACATTCAAGCAACAAAAAATGAGACCTGCTGCACTTGTTGGACCCAATGTGCAATCGTGAAGTGATAAGAATGCATCAGCACATGCAGTATACTTACAGATCTTGTTGAAGGCAACGATGTCACAACTCTGGACATATTCATTGATTGGCTCCACAGTCAATCGTTCTTCAATGAGAGTATCAACAGACACTAGGTCATCCACAATGGTAAGCATGATCTGCAATTTCTTAATACCATACCCAACTGCAACAAGCTTGGCTGAAAGAGGAAGCAAAGTACAAGGAAGGGGGGGAAAATAAGAACTAATCACAGGAAACCAAGGAGTAGAGCATAGAATATGGTCTCGATCGCAAATATATTAAAAAAAATACAAAGAAACATCAACTTAGTCCTTTCTTTCGCCTCCGCTAAGCTAAGACTTCCTTGTAATGACAATAGAGCAACCAGGAGGCACAAAGCGCTAAACAGAAAAGCTATGTAATACTTACATGCTCCCCAGAATAGTCCTTCCATCTCAACGCCTCTTACTGCTTCCTCGAGCTTTTTCATGTCAGTCTCATCATCCCATGGCTTAACATCCATCAGAACAGAAGACTTACCAGCTGAGAAGGAACGCCAATAAAAACCGTACAGGAACTCAGTTTTGCACATTGAATCAGAAAATGAACTGATGTACAGGAACCAAAAGAGAAATATAGCTCGAATTTCAAGCAGCACTTACACTCTTTCTTTTTAGAAGATGCCTTAACAGAAGCTGCACGCTCTTCTGCAGCCTTCTTTTCCTCTTCGGTCTCCTCACCAAACAGATCCACGTCGTCGTCATCTTCGTCATCAGCAGCGGCAGCAGCCTACAAACACAAAAGAGTTCGAGTTAAAAACCACTACACCAAACAAATGAACTCTCTTAGCTAATGGTGTTGGCCCTCAAAACAAGAGATAATGATGCATATAATAAGCGAAGACAGAAAGGAAATTACTCACCTTAGTGTCTCCCGTAGGAGGAGTTGCAACTGCTTCAGCAACAGGAGCAAATCCCTCAATAGTAACTCCAGATCCTTCTCCAGTAACACCACTACAACAAAAACCAAACCACAGATCAAAACTCCCAAGCGCCAATGTTTACATCAAACAACAAAGTAAAAGCCGAAATCTAAAGAAGAGGAAAATTATTCTGAACTTACGAAATCCTCAAAAGTGCATCGATGTGCTTGAACCATCTAGTGACGTTGACCAAATCAGATGATGGGGCACCGGGAATTGCCGAGTAGACGGTAATATCGTCCTTAGAAGCTTGGTATCTAAGGAGTGCAAAACATCACAGGATTATCAATCGGAGGATTAGATTTCAAGGCGCATACCATCCAAATCTAAGAATCGCATCCGATCCTGAAATTGAACTTACCCGGTGATGTAACTGCGAGTGATAAGGTACTCATCGAGTTTCTTGAGACCAGCTGGTGTGTTGAGACCATGGAATGCAACCGCCATTGTTGGTAAAAATTTCTGGGTATGGCTACTGCAAGGGAAAAAGTAAAATATCCTCAGAAACTCAAACCGCGTTTAGACCAATCGATCCGAATAAAAGAAATTGAATAGTGCAGGAAGACATTGATCTTACCCAGCCGGTTGCAGACTCTGTATCAGAGAGAGCGGAGTGAAGATTAGGGTTTAGGGAGTGCGAAAGGGGGCAGTTTTAAGTCTATATATAATGGTTGTTTGCAGGCTTATCGAGCTCGTTACGTTGGGCAGCCCTGGTGGAACAATGTAAAGCCCATTTCGTTTTTTTTTTTTTTATTTGTTAGAAGCCCATTCAGCTATGGAAACCGCTGGATTAATAGAAGTCATATTCTTAGTGATGGCAATGGACGGGTATCTCAATACACATGTTCCGTCCCATGTTACTTTGAATTGAATGGGATGAGTCAACTCACTCTTACATGTTATTTTAAAAAAATATAAGCTAAAATGAAAGAGAAAACACTTATGAATGCAAAACAGTGATAATAGAATGGGTAATTGAGTCTAACTAGTTAAAATATCGAGTATAACTAGTTAAAGAAAAGATCTACTCGGAGAAGCACGGGTTCCGAAGCTGCACCGCGTGCAACATCAACGGTTTGATCCGCTGCCCGGACTGCTACAAACCTGCCCGCCGCCGCAAGTCCATCGCGTAGCGCCGACGATGATCACTCGGTCGTCCGGTAAAATCTGGTTCGTTGCGGGGAGACTGACGGTCTCTTGTGAATGCGTCGGTTACAATCACCAACCAGGTGGCAGTTACGCTTCTTGGCTCAGATAAGTACTCCCTTATCATTTATTTATTTATTTATTATTGTCATTATTATTAATTTCGTTCCCTTAATAATTATCCTTCTTACTTTATTTGGTTTTAATTATTCTTTCCATCATTTTCATATTTCTCGTACGTATCTATTGCCTTCTTTTTATTTTTATATACTTGCAAATTGTTAGGTCCCCGAAATTTAGGTTGTTTCCTTTTATTAAAAAAAAAGAAAGAAAGAAAGAAGGAAAGAAAGAAGGTTTAGGTTTGTAACGGGTGGTGCCGGTTATCTAGGGTTTCCCGACGACCTAGTTCTCTATTTCAAAGGCGGATTGCTGCCTTGTGTCTATGTTGACTTGTTGGCTCTTTGGCCTGGATTGTCCTAGTAGCGACCTTTGTTTGCTCATTTTGCAGGTGAAGATTCAATTGCACAGTAGTCGATCGGTGACGGCTGTCTTGTTCACTAGGTGGCCTTTTGATGAGATTTGATGGAGCACTTGGAAATGGCGCCCATGATGTTGAAGGAGCCCCTTGAACACTATTAATGTTTAGTTTGATGGTGCGGTCAAGCATAGTTACGAAGGTAGTATTGGCTTTGTGAAGAAGGACATGCCTTGCAGGGTAAGGAGATCGTGACCGTGAAGGACATAACGACGAACAAGTATGACGTGAAGAAGAAGGTGGTCGAGTTTGAAGAATTGGGCCCGGACGATGATGAGCTGAGTTTCGCGGACCAAGAAGAGTGGTGGATGGACCCTGGGCCCGACCATGATTTGGTGGCTGACCCAAGGGTGGACCAACCCGGTCGAACCGGGCCGAACAAACCCGAATATGGGTGCTTTCCACGGGGCAGCGGCTGGAACGGGTCAGGTGGCGGACCCGGGCGCGAGATACCAGGTCCCGAGTCAGGCTATCCGCCATGAGGCACTCCACGAGCGGATCACGGGCGCAGAGGGCGCAGGATGGAAGAAAGACAGGGCTCCGAAACAAAGCCTAGCGGCAAGGAAGACTATTAGCGGGAGATGGCCGACTAGGCCTACTCGGGGAGACGGAACACGGACCCCGAATACCGGCACTATGGCCCGGGTCGCCCGATGCAACCGTCAGATGGCGGTAGGTATGGATACAGCAACCCTCTGTACGACTATGATGATGAGCTAGTGTTCAGAGCAAAACCTCCGGTTATTGAATTTCCGATATTTGATGGTACGGGTGATGTTGGGTTATGGCTATATGCGGAGGAGCGGTGGTTTAAGAACCACCCGATCAGGGCAGAAAGGAAGGCACATCTGGTTTCCTTCTATTTGGAAGGGGATGCCCTCCAGTGGTGGGAATGGACTGAGCGACCATATGCGGCAGCAGGCGCGGGCATCTCCTGGACTCGGTTTCAGGAGGAGCTTCGGTACCAGTTCGGCAGAGCAGAGGGATGGGCACCAGAGCAGCTGGCCAAGCTGAAGCAAACAGGGTTCGTGGCAGAGTACCGGGCCGAGTTCCTGAAACTGGGGAATCAATGCAAGGAGATGGCCGAGGAGACACTGGTGGGGCTGTGCATGGCCGGGCTGCGACCAGAGATGGCCACAGCAGTCAAGGTCTTTGAACCTGACTCTCTTCGTGTGGCTTTTAGACTTGCAGGTCGGAAGGAAGAAGAGCTCGCCAGTTGGAGATCGTCCATGAGCGGAGCAAATAACGGCGTAGGTGCTGGAACAGTGACCCCTGTCGGCTGCGACGTCGAGCCCACCAACCGCAAGGGTTGCAGCCGGTATCCAATTCTCGGTTAGGGCGTCGACGCGCGGGTTCGTGAGGCTGACCCAGGCACAGATGGGTCAGAAGCGCAGGGATGGGCGATGTTTCAATTGTGATGAGAGGTATACCGTGGGATATCAGTGCTCCAAAGGGCACTTAATGCTGCTGGTCGGGAATTGGGAAGATGAAGGAGAGGAACTGGAGCTAGGAGCGGAAGGTGGGTTTCAAGGGGGATGGATTGTGAGAAACATAATTATTGGGGTCTATTTGTTATTTGCGTATTATTCGGATATTGTGTTAGGGTGGGAATTATGAGGGTTTATTCGGTTAGGTTAATTATTCGGGTAGTAAACAGGAAATAGTCGGTTTATATATATATGGGTCAGACTCGTATGCTCCAGACATACAATATGCTCCAGGTTCTAACACCGTTGATTTAATCTGATGGCTTTCATTAAATATGATAATATTATCTATAATTTACAAATTAAAGATAATTAATTGATTCCTTTACATTTTAATACGTTCTCTTTAATCCCCCCAACAAATTATATCATTTATTTTCACGCTACGGTACCTAATTTTGTTTAACCATAACTTAAACATACCCAATTTCTTAATTAGGTGCAAAATCTCAAACAATACTTTACTCGAGATCCTAAAAGAGAAGCCTTTTCCTAAAAAAGCTGCTGCAAAGTGCAAACTACAATGGCGCCGGGCCGGAGTATCATCGTCGGCAGTAGCACCGTCGCCGACTGTCCTCATCTTCATCACGTTCGTCGCTGTTTGTGGCTCCTTCGCATATGGCTGTGCTGATCCTGATCCTCTCCTACCTCTCCGAGATAAAGTCCCCTTTCTTGATCCTCGACCTCTCCAAGCTCCGGGCCATCTACGACGTCGACGTCGCATGGGTCCAGGCCGGTTACCCATTTCATTGAGGAAGAAAGGGAATTGAATAAAAGGTGCAAGACAATTGCAGATTTCTAGAATCTCTACGAAAGGGTTCTTCTTCGCCACTATCTCCCGCTGCAGTTTCTCTTTTTCGAATTTGAACTCCGGCCATGAGAATGCTATCTTCTGAACAATTGATGGAATAATCCTACTCTTCCCTCCCCAGTTAAAAACATTAAACCCCATCGCCGCCCCGAACGAATTCCACCCTCGGCTCTTCAATCAAGAGACCCACTGAGCCCCGTCTCCGCCGACGCTCGGGTGCTACAGCCGTGGCAGCGAATGAACCAGCAACCTCTCCCGGCATTGAACGCGATCAACACCAAATCATCTGTGTGATCCAACCCTAACGAATTCCAAAACTTGAAGTAGGGGCATTCAATCGGCGTGGGTTGATCAGAATATGTGAGAATCGAACCTGCAATCGATATTGGTAGCTTTGATGATGACGATGGACTTTCAGTGGCACGATGACAGTGAAGTTTTGCTTTTTTTAAGACTGCTTTTTGGAGCTACTGCTAGAGAAATAGATGAATCTTTGATTCATTAATCAGTCGAGGAAAATTTATTCCCTTGATGATGACTATGTAATTAGGGGTAGCTAAGGTCTATTGATGAAGATGGTGAAATTAGGGTAGCAATGTGGCTTGCATATGATGGTGATCGCCTTTGATGATGCGAGTCTGTATCAGGTTGATGAGGGCGTTTGATTAATTAATCCTTCCTAAGAAATTTTAATGGACAAACAATTATTAATTATATAACTTTTGGGTGTTGAATAATAGGCCTCTTAGAAATACGGTATTAGAATACAAAGTATAGTGGTAAAGATTGTTGAAGGATTAAATTGTACGTATAATTATTTATAGGATGATGATGGTAACTATTATTGTTGGTAAATAAATTATTTTAATAGAATTAATAAACGCCGTTAGATTAGATCTACGGTGCAAAGGCCTAGAGCATGGTATGCGTCTGGAGCATACAAGTCGTATCCACATATATATATATATCCACATATCGTACCCCGGGTAAATTCCGGGGTATGGCGTACCTTAGGTGATCTTGACCGTACGTGTGATCTCGACGGCTGAGATTAAATTTTATTAAATGATTTGTTTTTTCGGAATTTATATTAAATAAAATTACAGATCAACTCATAGAATTAGTTTTTCTTTCATTTTAGTCCATTGTCCACCAAATCGGGTTGGTTCTGTTTAGTTATTGAATTGACCCAAAATCCAACCACCCTAAGAGAAAGGACACCTACCTTGCCCCACCCGCAGCCCTACCCCTCTCCTCCAAATCCCGACCTTGGACCTTCTCTCTTCTCCATTTTTCTGTTCGAATTGGGAATAACCCTGTTCTTCCTCCCTACTCCTGTAAATCATCCCAGCCGTCTCAGAAAATGGCAGCGATAATTGAACCACTCTGTTTCCTCCTCTTATTCTTCTTCGTTTTCCCGTTCTCGACTGTTATATTTCCCACCTGTCCTATGATTCCTCCCAATCGATTGTTTGAACCCTAAACTGGCCGAATATCGCAGGTAATCTCGGCGTCAACCTGTGCAAGCATAAGCACCCCCATCCCTTTGAATGAAAACTAATTGTTGCTTGTATGAGTAATTCACTTGTGTAAACAGCTAGGCAGGCGGAGATGATTGCACTGGAGAAGGCAATGAAAGAGGCCATGGTTCCTTCAGGATCTGCTAGGGAGGTAAGAAAGGGATTTTGAATTGAAATTGCCGAAATTGATTTTCGAACTACAATGCTGTGATTTTGGATGGATCTCTGATATGGATGAGGTGTATTGTAGACTGATTTGGGAAGAGAGGTCTCGTTGTTTGAAGCGGAGGCTACAGCTGTGGAGTCTGTATTTCAAAAATTCTATTCCTACATTTTTTTACACTGAAACCGTGGGGTTCAAACTAAACAGAGACCCCGACAGGCCCAGTCCTGCTTCTATCTTCATGGTTAACTTTGACAAGGTAAGGGTTTTGACGAATTGTGGTTACGGTTTTATGCATTGATGATAAACCGAGTTAATGTGTATCGGAATTAGGTGCTTAAGATGTCCCTTTCCAGGATCATGTGTGTTTTTGGTCCATTCTTTCAGTAGTCTTTGACATGATCTGTTGAGGAGCTTGTTTGTTGGTTTTCTTTTTCCAGGTCAGAATGGATCCGAGGAACAAGGAAGTCGATCTTGATAGTTTCATGTTTAGCACAGTTGATAAGTTGTCTGAAGAAGATATGAAGAAACAAGAGGGTGATTACATTTATAGGGGGAGCAACTCAAGTTTGGTTGAGCTCAGACAAATATTATTTGAATGGACGATATGTGACCTCTTTCATTTTAGTCACCATGAGAAATGACTATAAGTTCCTAATTCAATTTTAGCCACATTCTTCACTAGTGATGCTTTTAATCATGTTTCGGGTTCTTCCATCTTTATGAAAAATGGTTTAAGGGTCCACTTGATTGGGCTGGTTGTTGGACGATCCTCCAGCAAATTTCGATGGGTTACTTCGTGAAGACGTGATGGGAATAAGTTTCCCGAGGCAAGTAATCTGGCCAGTTTATCTCTATTAGTTTTTATGCGAATCTCAGAGGTTGCTGTTTCTGTTGCTGCTATTTTGGCTATCTGTCTGCAATGTGAGATTACTGTAGCGGTTCCATTTCTGTTTGGCAAACTAGCCTCTGGCTGTGTACTTGTGTTTATTCGGCTGAATAATAAACGTGTCCTTAAATCGTTACCATAAAGAGGGCATTCGTTGGAAAGGAAGAAACAAAACTAAATGCTAAAATGTTTTAGCAGAACACACTATGCGACTAGATATCCTTAAATCGTTACCATAAAGAGGACATTCGTTGGAAAGGAAGAAACAAAACTAAATGCTAAAATGTTTTAGCAGAACACACTATGCGACTAGATATCCTTAAATCGTTACCATAAAGAGGGCATTTGTTGGAAAGGAAGAAACAAAACTAAATGCTAAAATGTTTTAGCAGAACACACTATGCGACTAGATATCCTTGAGCCCTGAATTCGCCTCTTCTGGGAAGCTGCTTTCCTGAATTAGCCTCTTCTGGGAACCTGCTTTCCTCTCTTGGGAAGCTATTTTGTACTCAAGTGTCTGAGCTTCAAACCTAGGCGCATTCTGATTTGCTCTCTTGAGCACCTTGTGTCTTATGTAATTGGTAGGTTCTTTGACTAGGTACAATGCCACCTGCATTCTTCTCAAATGATTGCATGGCTGTAAGGACAGAAAATATAACGTATTAATACAATAGTTGACATAGTTTTTTTAATGTGCTCATAGAAATAAATGGGCCTAGGTAGTAGGTGATTTCTTACCCAAATATAATAGTAATCATCCCAAGTTGATCCCATCATCCACACACAAACCCAGATCCCACTATCATTCCTGTTTAGAAAGATGCATTACGTAAGACACAAATATTTTATTTTTCTAGTGAAATTATGACCAAATATACATTCTTACTTGTGTCGTTGTGTAGGAACTTCAGGAGTGGTCAAAGAAAACTCCTTAATCTGTGGTGGTGCACATGTTGATTGAACTTCCTTGTGTAAGGCATCGAACAAGTCGTTCAGAAATTCAATCTACAACGTTCAAAAAGTAACCTATGAATTACAAAAAAAATTTGGAAAATATAATGCCACATAATTGAATTACAAACACGTGTATTGAAGTATGTATTCAATGGCACAAATTTTAACTATACCATTGTGTTAACTTCATTCCTACGGATTGTCTGGCGCTCTTTTGATGGGCATGAATCCAGAATGTGTACTTGTTTCTGTTCCATCAAAATTATAGCTAAATACCAGTGGATGCCTTCATCATTCATCATATCTTTCATGGGAAGACAAACCTTCACAGGTACGAGAAAACAATCCAATTAACTAATTAGTTTTCCGACATAATTCATTCAAGAAATTAAGCAGAAGGGCAGGCATAATTCACGCGCACATATGTTGTGAAAACCGTTACTAAATAAGCAGAAATGAGAAGGAAGAATTGTGGAGAAGTCATAACCTTTCTACAGTTATGAGATTTTGATAGGAATTTTGTATCATATAACTCTAATGCCTTTGCAGATGTCATGCCATAATTAACGACCATATCTTGGTAGGAAAATGAAGTTAAATCATTGAACACTAATCTTACTTAATAAACAACCAACCCTGTGTAAACTGAATTAGAATTACAAAGCAAAAGCAACACTTACCTGCAATTCCGTAGGCAGAAAGCACACTCCTCTTCCACGACCAGTATCGCTTTTAACTTCGTCCAAGGTCAAGTGGCATGCTAACGCTGTAATTACCTAAAACACAATAGAAATAAAATCCAATGATTAAAAATCGTTAAGCACGTTAAGGTCAACTAGGGGCTTTTCGCAGAAGTACTTACATCAGCATCAACGCTTGACTCGGGGCATAAGCTCCATAATGTCTGCCTGGTATATGATTTCATCATTGTTTTGACCAAAGCTTCATCAGGAGGAAGGTCTTCTGCAAATATATAGTGAGCAAAACTCACTTCTTCGTCACTGTAGTTGACGGCTGTAGGGAGCTCAAACCTTGTGGTACCCTTCAATCATGGAGAACGAACAAATAGAGGAAATAAGAAGAGGTTTTCACTAGGATTACAAGTGGCGGAGAAAGGAACGAAGGAAAACAACGAAAATAGTGGGCGAAAAGGAAGCATATGTACATCACTAGGATTACATACCTTCATTGACAATTTTTGTGGAGGCGTGAGGGGCACACCTAGCTCATAATGTTCCAGCCCTGGTTCAGCATCAAGAACAATCACCTTCGAGTCGGGTGTAGGTGGGGGGGATGACGTCTTGCATTCTTGTTTTCTTTGCAGGAGATACATAGTTCTCCAATTCCTACAATAATGAACAATCAAGTCAGAATAAGTTTTGTATAAATAACCTACTGTTAAAGCTCCTGGACGAACCATAGACTTGGCTAGAGAACGCGTTAGGCGTACAGTAGACTGGCCGCTCGTCATCTTGTTCTTCTCCCTAATATAATTGTACAAAAAAGCAACGAGAGAGTGGAATATAAGAACAAATACAACGAAATAGCTGACTAAAAAGTTAAAGAAAACACATTAGCGGATTGCAGAACTTACCCTTCCTTCCCCATAATGTTACAGACACAATGTTGACCAAAGGGCCTCTGCGCTACTTTTAGTTGAATGAGTTTTGGGCAAGATGTTTGGCCATATTAATAGATGCGCCAGAGGGGTGTTTAACCTCGTCTATTAGGAAAACCCGTGAGATATCAATTAGAGTTTTTTTATATGTGGGAACTTCTATATTTATCCACCTCATTAAATGAACTTAATAAGGAATTAACTAGTTACGTGTGAACTTCTATATTTATCCACCTCATTAAACCGATTAGGGGCTTCATTTTAGGGTTTTAAGGTTTGAAAAGACAAGACCACGAAAGCAGATGGAAGAAGGGAAGAAGACGATGCCAATTTAACCTCCTTGGTTGGTTGTGGCTCCGCCAGTTTATGAATTCACGTTTGGCCCATTTTCAACCAATAAATTAAGAGTGATCTAGGCTTCCCGCGGCAGGCTTGGTTATGCGAACCAAGGAGGTTATTTAGGCCCACTAGTTTTATTTAAATAGGCCAAACGAATTCAGTCCAGCCCATGGATGTTTTGACCCAAATTGTTCTGTTAAAAACAAGGATTTAATTTCACAGCTTATATACAACATCCGTTAGGTTTTTCATAGTGAAGCGCTCAAAGTTCTTTGCAGGCTTGTCAACAACGTCTAGATGTGAAGGAATGAACTCTCAGCTTACCAAGTATATCGAAAACAATCATAATCTACTTGAGTTCTTTATTCATTTTGATCGTTGGGCTAGGGATATGAGGGAGATGGAGCAACAAGCTGATTTTGAGTCCATCCAGAGAAGAGGTAAGAAGTGCCCTGGTGTTTAAAACAACAAATGGATTTTCAAAAAAAAATTAACAAGCATTAACAAACAGAAAAAGTGCAAACGAGAGCGAGAATGATGAATGATAAAAAAAATTTATTTCAATAACCTCAACGTCACCATTCTCTTGCAACAATATAAGACCGAGTGATTCCGTAAATTCAGACATAGAAGCTGCTTCCTCATACCGCAGCTTTGCAACGAAACCAGGCTCAACCATAAAATCCCTACAAATAAAACCGTTACTAATGTCTGACCATACGAAAAGGAAGCGGAGTAGACAGTCTAAGGATTAGTTGGTAAACAATACTTACGGGTACCATTGAGATACACGATCCATTGTAAGAAAATTACACCTACGAGTATAACAACACACTACATCAGATACTCTAATCCACCGTACCAAATAGTTAAAAAGCATTTACAAAAATGTACCTGCGGCGGTGGAAACGTGGTCGGCGGCAACTCGTTGTTAGTCCGGGAAGGAAGGAAGACGCCGATTGGAATTCCTTTTTTCCACAGGATTTTCCTTCGCCTGCTCTTCTGTCAACAGACGACAACCCTACCCTTGCTGCTCTCTCCCTAACTTTCTCCTGCCTTTCGTCCTGGGAACTTTCTGCCGCTCTTCTTCCCACAACCCCTCGAGCGAATCAGCGGCGGCGGTGGCAGGCGACGATGGTGGCTCGGAGGTGGAGACCGGTATTGAGCGACCGTCGACCAGCGGTGGATTGACTGGCGGAGGCGGAGGCGGAGGGGGAGGCTTGCATGCAAGGGAGGCGGAAGCGAAGGAAGGAGGAGGGCGGTTAAGTTTTCTTTCTCAAGGAAAACAAAGAAGCCTGCGCATGGGGGGAAGAAAAAGCAGGGATATGGATCGATTGCTTGATTTTGTAGGCTAGTCTTTCAGTTGTTCAACTTTGCCATAATTGATCTGTGTTGGGAGAATAAAAATAATGGGAAAAGGAGTTGTGCCGCCGATCTGCTATTGCTAAGGGCCTTATTGGGCCTGGTACAAAAGGCATGTTCGAATTCACATGAGGCCTTTTTAATGGCCAAAAAATATGAGACCTTTTTAATCAATCGATCGGATTATTTAGACAACAAATAATCTGAATCGATAGTGAACAAATAATTAGGATCTCAAAACAACCTATGGTACTTTAGCCGTCTAGCGAATTTCACTGATCATCTAGAATGACAAAGAACAATTGTTCCACGTGATAGGATCATCTCCGACAAAAATCTCATAAGATCTTCCTTGATCTATCATAACCTCATCGTGACTTGGCCATAGGTATCGATGTCATGATAGTGCCTGATATAAATATATTTATAAGGAACAAGACATTCTATCTCAACCGACAAACTTCTATCAATGTAAAACTTCTATCGATGTCAAGTCTCACTTTTCAACTATAATGTTATATACTATGTTACATGCGTCTTAGTATATGAAATCGTTTACGCTACAAATTTTTTTAAAGCAACACTGCATCTCTTTTATAATAACAACCAATCCATTTTACACGCATCAGTGTCAAGGCAGAATATTGAACCATTCGGAACATGGAGCTTTCACGTTTATAAGTTTGTCAAGGCAGAATTTCAAACTTAGTCACTAGACTGCACTACAAATGCCCTTTCACGTGGTTTAGCAAAGGTTTGTTTTGGGATGTACTAGTCCTTTGTACTAGTTTTGGGTTAACGCAAAGTTGCAAGGTGGAGGTGGGCACAACGGTGGTGTGTGACAAAAATGACATGTCGTGTAGAATTACTATTTATGAATAGTTGTAAAATAAAATTCTAAATAGAAAAATGAAATTTTTTCCAAAAACTTGACTAGCAAGGAGAGGGTAATCAACAATGAACAAGTGATTTCAAAGAAGAAACATAAAACCGCTAATAATTATAAAAAAACTAAATATAATGGTTGAAACTAGTATTCGAACCCTACACCTATTCTAGCAAACTTAATAGTAAACTACTAACTTAACCACTAAGTTTGCCAACGTTTCTTGTTTTGTATGCTAAGTTTACGGAAACTATAAGTGTGATGATGTTAGCCCACATTCCATCTCGTGAGTGGTTGAGAAACGATCAGAAGCTTCACTTCGATCGTCTTCTTCCTGTTCGTATTTCAAATTTCAGTTCTTTTTTTTTTCAAATTCAAACTTCAGTTTTCTGCTCCACATAAATCCCCAAAATTTCCATAATAGCATACTGATACAACATGGTCCTATTATTGATTTTGAGGGTATGGCATATCTAATTTAACACAAATATGTGCGATAAACAAAATTCGCAGAACTTGACCCAGGAAGGTTTGACATCATCAATGATAGAACATTGAGGCGCCGTCGTTGATCTGTTAGTGACGGAACTTGGAAGCGAGGCTAATGGCGTCGGGGTCATCAAAGACCATTTGTGTCGTCGTGGGAGGACTCTCCGGTGGGGAGGTCACCCCTTTTTCTTTCGACGAAGGTCTCTGCAACTCGTTCGAGAAGCCATAACGCCAATCGCCAGAAAAAGCGAGCAGAGGAGAACCCTTCCTTCTTCTTCTGGTTGCAAGGATTCGAAATCCCTTCCGCAAGGAGAATCTAAGTTGTTGGTGAGCGATGAATTTGGGGCCGACAAGGGAGATTAGAAAAGGTAGGTAGAGGGCTAGCGGCGTCTAGCGGCGGAGGACGGAGGAACAGGGGAAGAGGATAGGGCATTAAGGTATCGGCGTGTAGCAGCGGAGAAGAGAGGGTCGGGATGGGGGGAACGAAGCGCTGGTAGGTTGGATGGGGTAGGTACCCTTTATGTTTTGGGGTGGTTGAATTTGGGTTCAATCAAAATATTGAAAAAACCCAACCCAACTCAAACTAACCAACCCACGGACATAGAGGACTAAAATGAAAGAAAAACTAATTCTATGAGTCTTCCTGTAATTTTATTTAATATAAATTCCGAAAAAACAAATCATTTAATAAAATTTAATCTCAGCCGTCGAGATCACACGTACGGTTAAGATCATCAAGGTACGCCATACCCCGGAATTTACCCGGGGTACGATAGAACTCGCCATATAGGTGGCTACTTCGGTGCACTCACTTTTTTGGGTGCACTTAGTGCACCCAACTCTAAAAGCGTCCATAATACATCAGATTTTGAATTTTAATTGGTACTCTCAATATAATATGATGATATGACATAGAATCATAACAAATCAATCCATTACTCTAACCCCTTAACCTTCAATTTTGAATCCCAACCCAAAATCCCAAATTGTAAACCTAAACCCTAACCCTCAATCCCTAAATCCTAAATCCTTCAAATTAAAGTAAATTTTGAATGAATTTTTTTCAAATCCATGTGCTTCTTTTTCATAATATCATAAGCAACAATTGATACCGTTTTGACATGAATCGCATGGTCAGAATGACAATTATGAGGCGGGTGCACTGAGTGCACCCGAAAAAGTGGGTGCACCGAATACGCCACCATATATATCATGTTATGTTAGGTCAAGGGCAAGCAATAATACATAATTGTTCCCAAACTCTCTCTCTCTCACTCTCACCTAGCCGAACCTCCCTCCCCTCTCTTCACCGTCGGCAGCTCCCTCCCGGGAACCTGACTCTGCCTTCTCTCTCATCCAATTCCCAATTATTTCTCACCTAAATTCCCAATCCCTAATTCGCTCAGTCCCTAAATTGCACGCCTAGATCCGTAGTTCTCACACTCACACAATGGGCTCTCCCCTCTCTCTTTCTTTCAGCTCATTTTTTAAACAGGGATCGGGGTCAGTTCACGACCGTGAACTCTGAAACGCGTCCTTGAACTCCAAATGGGCGCCGAAACGCACCGCTTCGCTTGCACGTGTTCACGGGCAACAGCTTCAGTTCACGGTCTTAGTGACCATGAACTCAATTAGCGTCAGTAACTTGAGTATTGGCCCTAGACGCCTCAAAGTTCATGGGCAACGACTCTTCTTCACGGTCATACAAGACCGTGAACATCCAAGAAAAACCGTGAACTCGCCGTTTTTCACCTCTTCTCCCGGTTTTCGCTCCTATTTGACGAACTTTCGACTCCGGGGCTGGTTTCACCTGTTAGATCGAGAAACACACTAAGGAAAACGAGGGTAAAACATGTACAATTAGGCCGGAATCAAGCTCGCTTTAGCTCCAGCACCGCCACTGCTAGCGACGGCCGGCACCGATCTTGTCTCCCCAGCTTTCGTATGGGCTGCTGTTACAGCACCCACCATTGCACAACCCTCGTCCATCACTCTGATCAAAGCAGGTAACATGGGAGTACGGGGAGAGCATGTAAACAAAAATTGCATGGGAAGGTCCTTTCATGCACTCATACGAGACAAGATTGAAGGGATGTGTGGGGGAGTCCATTTCATGCGTGGAAAGAAAGAAGGGGTGCGAGCTAGTGGTATTGAGTTCGTACGGGTGTCTGGACGTAATTGGAAGTTTTGTAAACGAGTTCGACATCTACGAACATCTTTTCTCTCTGCTATTCTCAACAACTTTTTCATCGATCCGGGTTGAGACGTCGTTTGAACTTCGGGGACAAAGTTCTTCGAAGGGGGAGGATTGATGAATTTATTATTATTAATATGTTTATTTAGATATTTTATGGTATCCTTGGGATAATTATAATAGTAGTTTGAGTGTTGGAATAGGATTAGAATAGGAGAAGGGGGTTGGCGGCCACTACTTTGCCGATTGGTTTAGAGTTAGTCATTAGGTTTAGGGTTGTGTTTTGTTATATACATATACATTATGTTCTATTCCAAAGGCAGTAAATCAATGAATAAGAAAAACCCCTAATTTTGTGTCTTTAGTTTTAGTTCTTACGATTTACGCGATGGATGAACTGATCATCCATCACAGGAGTGGGTCAAAAGTACATACCATGCCACACCTCACGCTACTGTTGGTCGGGTAGTACCCGCCCCATCGCAAGTCAGGTCAGGCAATACCCATGTGGCGGGTTCGAATTGTCATCACTACATATTCTACTAGGGCAAGGGTGGAAGTTTGGCTTATCGCATGCTAACCATACCCACAATTTGTAGATAGTGAATTGAGTATGGCTAGCAAAATATTGATTTATGTGGTTAGTGGTTAATCACTACCCACAGTGGTTAAGCTATAAAAGAAGCAGCACTCACCGCAGGAGCTCGAACTGATTTGGTTGATTGCGAACTTGAAACGCGAAGCCTGAGCGGCGACTAAGTTGCCAACTCCTTTCGTTGATAGTTGTGGTTAGATCATTACTTCTTTTTTTTTTGGGTGAAAAATTGTCTTATCTTTTTTTTTGTGTAATATTATAGTATGCGAAAAGTGTAAGACTACAAATTAAAATAGCTTCCAAAATCAAATACGCACTTATTTTATGAAACAATATAAAGTCAATACACAGTGTCCGTGTGAGATACTTTTATTAAATAAGCATTGTCCTTGTGGTATATGTTTATTTTATAACAAAACCAAGTCAATAGATGTGGTTTATCTAAAATCTAAAGAATATAATATACTTTCTTATTTAAGGACTCACCATTTCAAATTTCCAGCATTCCTACGCATCCACATAAGCACCTCTCTCACCAGCAAATTTTTTCTTAAATCTTCTTCATTTTAATTAATTAGTTTTTTCTTTGTAGATCTGACGGTCAAAATTTCAAAGAGTAGTCTAATTTTTATTTAATTTTTTATTTTAAATTTTTGGGTAATTCAATTAGAATGTGTCACCTATCACATTCTCTCTCTTATTTTTCAATCCCCCTGGTAGGGGTGTACATGGGTCGGGTGGTCCGGGTTTAGCCATTTCATCACCCAACCCATGCACTACGGTTTGGAAAATATCAAACCCAAACCCACCCAAAAAAATTTAAACCCTACGGTTTGTTTCTAATCGGGTTGGGTCGGGTTGGCGATATTTTTAAGTAAAAACTCAACCCAACATAAAATATATTATTATTCTACATCATAAAAATATTTTATAACTAATTAAAATTTCAAAAGAATAAACCGTGGTGAAAGGTACCAAAATTCACAAATGCTGTTTGAATTTTAATAAAATATGATTTACTTCAAAATACGTCTAGTTTTTTTACGATATTTGTTGAAATAGGCTAAAAAGGTTATAAACAAACGCACCCACAATATGTTATTCTATTAAAATTGTACACAAGAAAAACGATTACGTGAATCATAACTATATTCAATTTATGTATATACTTTAAGTCGAATAATGCATTAGATTAGGGAGACCATGCGAGAAAAACATGGCGAAATATCTTAATTTTCTCATAAGTATGGCTATATATGACATAAATATTTTTTAGATACGAACTCATACTAATAGTTGGAACACGGGTTGGGTCGGGTTCTACGGGTTGTGTAATCCAAAATCTAAACTCAACCCAAAAGAGGCGGGTTGTACAAAACAAAACCCTCACCCAACCCAAAATCTTTGTTTTAGCGATAAATACGGGTGGGTTGGGACGGTTTGGACGGGTGGGTCGGTTTGCGGGTATGTTTGTTCACCCCTACCCCCTGCTATTCTTAATTGACCCGTATTTATTTCGTTTCAACTCCGAATTTAGTTAAATTTGCTCTAATAAATAAGTTTTTATGTGATCTACACAACGATATTCATTTTGATATATGTTAAAAAATTGAAAACATCGTCACGTTCATATAGGGGGTGGTTAATGGGCAGGTTGGATTGGTTTTGGTCTCAAATTAATCCACCCGCTTACTTGCGAGTTGGTATAATTATGACACGATGTCCATCCACATTCTTCTGCTGGTCGGGTTGGGTGGGCAGCGGATGAGTGGCAGGGGTGTTCAAACAGTGTGGTTACCATGGTAACCATTTTAACCAGTACTATTTGGATAATTTGGATAATTGGTTTTGTTTGGTTAAAGTTTTTAGCTTGTTTGGTTTAGGTGGCTTGGTTTGGTTTCAGACACTCCTAACCAGTCAAACCAAATTAACCAGATAAATAATTAGCCATATATCTAATATATACACATACTTAATACTTTGAATAACCACTCAAGAGTTAAACGTTCATCCCTTTTAGACTCATAAAATATAAAGCTTGATATTGTTCCTATAATGTATATTTGTATATGTAGAGTGTAGACCACAACATATGAACGCCTAATTTAGATAAATCTCATACATTATGTTGGATGAAAACTTGAAAACAAGGTCTTTTTCAGCCTATGAAAATTGCTAAAAGACTAAGTCAATTCAAACAAACACAGCAATTCATTAACCCATACCATTGTGATGAATTTTTGCTAGGTGAATACTTCTATACTAACCGTAAGATAATTGTCTTTGTTGCATGTATTTATGTTAAAAGTCAACTATAACCAAGTGTTGATTGTTATGTTTTATTCATTATATAAATTGTGAATTGATAAATTAACCGAAAATTTTCACACTTAATGATAATATAATTTTATATTGGTTAATCTGATTAACCAATTAACCAAACCGATTAAACTTTAGTTTGGTTAATTTGGTTGTTGTATTAGTTTGGACGGTTTGGTTATGATATTGTATTCCATGGTTAATAAAATTTAGACTTATTTGGTTTGGTAATAACCATGGTAACCATTTGAACACCCCTAAGGTTGGGTCATGGGTTAACCCGCAAAAGCAATTCTCCAACTATATATTATGAAAGTTGACCAACATTTATAATAAGTTCCTAGCAAATTAGTAAGACTATATCAATTTAGACACTTTCCACTTTTTCTCATGTGAGTCCATGTAGTATTTGCATCAAAGTTTTCATTACTATATCAAACAATTGTGTATAGAAAATTTACACATTTTTCAATTTTTTTTATATAATTTATAGTTTGCATCCCGATATCTAATGGATATTAACCAATAACTTGCATAATAATATCTGATATCTCCATTTTTGTAAGTAGATGGTCAGTGTGTAGTGCGCTTCGAAAATATGAAAAATACTTGATAGTATAAAAAAGACATTCTTTCGTTACGTAATCTGTTAAATCATTACGGAAGATTTACATAAAGATTCTAATTTAACTGTTACGTAAGAAATAACTATCGTTCTGTAAGCTTTACGTAATAGATACATACTTTATGTAACAATTGTAAGGTGTCATTACGGAAGCCTTACGTAATTGATGGTCCTTTTACGTAATGAATATTAATCAAGTTACGTAATGTGGTAAGTCATTACGAAAGTCTTACGTAATGATGGTCTTTTTTTTAATAAGGAGAATGAAGTGGAAGTATTTTTTTTGTGTGGGAACAGAGGTTCTTGCCGTCAGAGTTTGGTAATGATGTGGACCATGTGACGAACGCAGTGGGGCCGACGAAGACAATATTCGACGCCAAGGTTGGAATCCGGTGCGCCATTAAAGAGGCAGGGATACCTTACACTTACGTCCCGTCTAACTTCTTCTTCGCCGCATACTGCCTCCCGACGTTGGCACAGCCGAGGCTCACTTCATTCAGTTTGTGACAGATTGTTTTCAACACCCGGCGTCTGTAGCTTCTATTAATGAAACTCTATTGTGTTTGATCCAGAAGGAGTGACCGGAGACCATAACGCAGTTTCGGCCTATTGGGCTCTGCAATGTCTACAAAATTCTCATTAAAGTTATAGCAAACATAATCAAGCCTATGATGCGAGATCTTATTCATCCGATCCAGACCAGCTTTGTTCCTGGGAGACATATTACAGATATTATTATTCTCCAGGAGGTGGTGCACTCTATGGGTCAAAATAAAGGGCAAAAAGGGCAGATGGTTCTCATGATTGATCTAGCAAAGGCCTACGATCGGCTCAGCTGGAACTTTCTCCATGAGACCCTCATCGCGTTGGGTTTCCTGTCTTAGTTGATTGATGTTATTATGCATTGTGTTTCTTCTGCATCCATCCAGGTGCTGTGGAATGGTAACTCACAAAGGAGTTTAAACCAACTAGGGGTCTACGACAAGGATGTCCGCTCTCTCCATATCTCTTTACTCTCTGCATGGAGCGACTATGTCATACCATTGAAGAGGTTGTTCGGAAGGGCAGGTGGAAACCTATTCGTACATCCCCGGGTGGTCCCACTTTATCTCATTTGTTCTTTGCAGACAACCTCATTTTCTTTGGGAAAGCCAGCGAGAAACAAGGTGTGGTAGTAGCGGACTATCTGGATCGTTTCTGCCTTGCATCCGACCAGCAAGTGAGAAGGGAGAAGTCTGTCATCTTCTTCTCCAAAAAACCACCACGTCCACTTTGTGCAACCTTTGCTCGACAGTTGGGAATGCCATTGACGCAAGACCTTGGGTGATACCTGGAGGTACTAGTTCTCCATGGGCGGGGTACTCAGGTAACTTACCAGTATATTCTTGATCGTTTGGATAAGAAAATGTCGGGATAGAAGGTGCGTGCGTTCAGTTTTGCAGGTCGCGTAACACTGGCAGTTTCGAAACTGAACGCATTGACCACCTATGCGATGCAAACAACTCTTATTCCCCCGACGATTTGTGATCTTATTGATAGGAAAATGCGTGGTTTCATTTGGGGATATTCGGAAGGAGCTCGGAAGTTTCATCTTGTCCATTGGCAGGCGGTTTGCAAGCCCAAGTCAGAGGGGATTTGTGTCTTCACAGTACACACGAACTGAACCTGGCATTCTTGGCCAAATTTGTTTAGAACTTTGTTAAGAAATCTGATGAGTTGTGGGTTCGTGTGTTACAGGCTAAGTACTTTAAACAGGTGAATGGAGTATTGGTGCCTAAGTCTTGGGGCAGAATATCAACTGTTTGGAGGGGGATCAGGAAAGCATGGCCTATAATGACCACAGGGACGAGGATGAACATCCAGGATGGCCAGAGCATGTCGTTTTGAACGGATCGCTGCATATATATCAGAGAGATCCTGCTAGATGCGGTCAATAAGGAGGGCCCGACAGTGGACCTGTCCGCTTCGGTGGCCAATTTTGGGAGTCCGAATGGTGAGTGGGATCTCCTGAAACTCCATGCTTTCTTACCTGAAGAGTATGTTTTGCAGGTTCCAAATATCCAGCCCCCAAACATGGCGCCAGCGAAGATTCTGCTGTGTGGGGTCCGGAAGTAAACAACTGCTTTCAGGTGAGGATGACATATGACATTGCCACGGGGGACTCTAGCAGACAAGTAGAGGTGGATGGGCGAACCATATGGAGATGGAAGGGCCCCGCTAGGGTTAACCACTTCCTTTGGCTTGTAGTTCAGAACCAGCTTCTCACAAACTAGGAGCGCTCGCGGTGGCATCTCACAATTCAGCGAGCTTTCAGCACTGCAATGGTCACACTGAGTCAGTCCTGCATGTGTTGCGGACTTCCCTTTTTCCAGGTTAACTTGGTTGCAACTTACTCAGTTTTCTGATCGACTAGACTTCTTCAGAAGTTCCTTACAGGAGTGGATCCTTGGCAACATTCGAGATGCCCACTCTAGTCTGGAGTTCGACATTATTTGCTGGTCCCTTTGGCGAACCATGAACGACAGAGTCTTCGCAGGCAAATTCGTCACAATAGAAGCTGCTCTACAGTGCGTCCTGACATGGGTAAATGTCGTGCGGACTACTTTGGACAAAGACATACTATTTCATACTCCTCATCTACCCATGAGAACGGAGGTGGAGATCACTTGGAAGGCGCCACCTCCTGAGTGGATCACTCTCAATTCAGACGGCTTCGTCATTCCTGATTCAGGCCACGCTGCGGCGGGTGGCCTGATTAGAGATCACACAAGATGCTGCATTGCGACATTTACTTTAAACTTAGGGATATGCTCTATCACCCGAGCAGAATTGAGAGGCGCTGTTGAAGGGCTCAGTTGGCATGAGAGAATGGTTACCGCAGAGTTCGCATTGAGCTCGACTCTTGGTGCGCGGTCCAGCTCCTACAGAGTAGTGAGGTGTCAGACCATCACTAGTAAGTTATTATTGATCACTTCCAGGATCTTCTTGCTAGAGATTGGAGTGTCTTTATCTCCCATATCAATAGAGAGGGTAACATATACCCGGACTATCTAGCCAGTTTGGGGCATTCTCTTCCTTTGAGTTTTTACGATGTATCAGTTTCTAACTCTGGTTTATGCCATTTCCTCCTGTATGACTATCAAGGACTTTCTGAGTCCCGTTTGGTTGTGAATGAAAACTGAGATGCGTTGCATTCATTTATAAATATAAAAAAATATAGCTGAATAAAGCCATATCCGAGTGTCCGAGCATCAAACAATACCAAACTAGTGAACAAAGAAAATGACATTTTTCGCCGCCAAATAGGTCACCCAATCATATTTCAACTCACAAATCTCACACTAAATTAATGAAAACATCGACACATCATACTAATTTCATCCAGTTAGCACCACCACAGACACCATGAGCATCCCAACTACTCCACTCTCTGACCTTCTCAATCACCAATTGTTGAATTCCCCGAGCCAAACATTACTCAACCTTCAAAATTATACTATTTTTAGACATGTATCATTGTCCTATGATTTTTTTATATCTTTTTCAACAAGTGACCTACCAGGCTACAACTCAGTATTTTTTCCTCTCTAAGTCATTATCATTCAAAGAAAAGAAAACATTTCAACAAAAGGAAAAAAAAAGGAAAAGAAAACGAACTCTAAAACAAGTAAAAACACCCGTCGCGCGCAAGTAGTGTAAGTCCCGAGCGACTCGTTAAAAGCAGCAAGGTGCGAAAAGCACGGCCCGGCCCACATTCGACTTGCCACGCAATTGGATCGCCATCAACAATCGGATAAGAAGAGAGCAATCAACACAATCAGACAAAAAAAAAAATCACACAGAAAACAATGATATAATTTCAATACTGCCCTTTGCCCACCCACCGGATAAGTTTCAGCGGACAGCGATTCGTTCGTCAACTACGCTGACCACCACTCGCCATGCACCTCCACCACTCGATTCGCCCCTTCTCCTACGTGTCCCCATCTCCACCATCCACTCAATGATCGCACGGTCCCCACTCCGACACAAAATCAAGGCGCGTCGCAGGGGATAGCTGGATCTGATTATTAATTTAGGAAAAAAAGGAAAAGAAAAGGACGTTTTCGTATGTAATTTAATTTTCCTGGATTTGAAATTCCTGTCGCAAGGAGTGCGCACACAGGAAGGAAAGAAGAATAGGGAGGGAGGGAAGTGTGCTTTGTTGATTAAAATCGAGTTCTCTTTGATTGGGGTCCGGCGAGATATATTTCGTTTTACTGTTATTGTGATCGGAAGGAATTACCGGTGGCGGCGATGGCGAGCTTGCAGTTGATTAGAGAGAGCAGCGAGGCGGTGGAGAGCCAGAGCCAGAGCCCGAGGAGCCCTGAAGCCAAGCTCGGGATGAAAGTGGAGGATCTGTGGGACGTTCAGGAGCCGCAGCTCAGTCCCACCGAGAAACTCAACGCTTGCTTCGAGAACATTCCGGTCTCTGCTTTCCCTGCTTCTTCTTCTCGAGGTGATGGAATGGAAACGTTTGCGTATTTCTCCCTCCCTCTCTCTCTCTATCTATCTGTTGTGTTGTTTTTATGATTTTGATCTTTGTTTCCTTGTGCTGGTGTAGTGATTGAGATAAAATCGGATACGACCTTGGCGGAGGCGGTGAAGATATTGGCGGAGAACAAGATTCTGAGCGCGCCGGTGGTGGACGTTGATGCGCCAGAGGACGCTAGTTGGATGGATAGGTACATTGGAATCGTGGAGGTCGCCGGAATCGTCGTTTGGATCCTGCAGCAGGTGAGATTTTGTTGACTTTTTTTTTTATGTGTAAATATTTATCTGTCCATGTATCCTAAGAGGTTAAAAGAGCATGAACAACTTTTGGTATTTGACAGTCAGAACCTCCGTCTCCTAGGAGCCCAAATTCAGGAACCTCTGCTGCGTTGGCTGTGAATGGATTGACGAATGCTGCCGGAGTCGGGATCTTGGGGCCTGAAGATGCTCAAGCAACGTCTGGAGATTTTTTTGAGGATCTCACTTCCTCGGAATACTATAAAAACATGAAGGTTCATTGTTTTGATCGTTTCTGTTTCTTGCGCTAATGTGGATTCGATCAATGCCAAGCTATCTGACTCTGCAAAAAATGACGCTGATGCAGGTTCGAGACATCTCGGGTTCTTTCCGATGGGCACCGTTCCTGGCTTTGCAGAAGTCCAACTCCTTCTTGACGATGCTGTTGCTGCTCTCCAAATACAAAATGAAGAGCATCCCAATTGTTGACCTGGGCGATGGCAACATTGACAACATCATCACGCAATCTGCTGTTATTCACATGCTAAACGAATGTGCTGGGCTTCACTGGTTTGAGAGCTGGGGAGCCAAGACGGTTTCAGAACTTGGCCTTCCTCTCGTCTCCCACAATCAAATTGTCAAGGTCTCTTCTGGCTCTTTACCCTGGTGGTTGTTCTTTTTGTGTGATTGAGATAAAAGGGTATTTGACAACATTCTAGAAATCGACACCCCACCAAGGAGGAAAGAAATGGGTGATACCCGCACTTTGCAGTCTCATTTTGATCCCATTCTGCGGTTACCTATTGCTTGCTTTGATGATGTTTTTTTTGCTGCCTCAGGTTTATGAGGATGAACCAGTGCTCCAAGCGTTTAAGCTGATGAGGAAAATGAGAATTGGTGGCGTGCCTGTTATGGGAGCGGATGGCAAGAAGCCAATTGGCAACATCAGTCTCAGAGATATTCAATTCCTACTAAATGCGCCAGAGATTTACCATGAATTCAGGTGCATACGGTTGTCCTTTCATTATCTGATCTTCTTTATTATTAGTTTCTCATGCAGGATTTATATACGCTCTTCGGTAGCTTTTCATTGTTAGTTTACGAATCAATGAAGACAAGTGAAGGAGAAACTTCCTTATTACAACTCCAACTTAATGACGACTGTGTCTGACCTTTTTTTGTGGCAGATCTATCACAGCGAAGAACTTTCTGATGGCGGTGAGAAGCTACCTGAAGGATCACAAGGAAGACACCCCAATGGTGAGCGGGATGATAACATGTAAAGGGAGCGACAACATTAAAGGCTTGATTACGAAGCTAGACACCAAGCAAATCCACCGGTTATACGTTGTGGACGATTCGGGGAATCTGGAAGGCGTGATCACTCTGAGGGACGTAATCTCAAGGCTTGTACACGAGCCCCGTGGATACTTTGGAGATTTCTTTGACGGAGTTCTGCCGCTCCCTGCTAACAGTAGAGTTTGAGGAGTCGGGCATCTCAAAGTTGTTTGTTGTTCTTGTTCTGTTTCTGGTGGTTAGTTCAGTTCACACTTAGGGACAGTTCTGTTTTTCATCTGTCACGCAATGATTGTAATATAGGTCAGTTCTCCTGTAAGTTTTGTTACCCTTTATCTTGTATATGTTAAAAAGCAAACCAAACTGTATGGTCAAGTCTTTGTGCTGGTGGCTCCCTGTCCCTTTTGTATGAACAGATAATAATCAGAACTGCTGATATACAAGTTACAGGCTCTCGTGATCTAATTCCGATCTGATTGTGTTTTCAGGATTTGAGAATTTGTGCCGGGTAAGGATTCAAGTTCTTGAACATTCTGGATTACTGCTTTAGGAGGGTGGTTTATGTCAACCCATATATATATAGAGGAGCATATATGTGGAAACTGCCACGTCAGCCAGTGCAAAACATTGAGGGATTTACGGAGGGGTGTTTTTGTCAAACAGTTCAGAGACAAAAAAGTGAAAATGGGCTAACAAAAATTGTTCCTGCAAACAAAAATGCAACCGAAATAAATTTGGGCCCGTATCTATACATTACATCTATCTTGCTTAAACCTTAAAGTCCTTCGTTGCTTCTCTCTACCTTCCCTTTCTCCTAAACAATTCTCCCCAATTTCTGGACACGGTTTCTCCGTAGAAGAGGCCCAGCTTCCAATCTCCCGCAGCGATACGATCCCAATCGCCTCAGGCCATTCCAATCCTCCGGCAGACCGTCTTAGTACAAACTCATCCATGGAGTCCAACAAATTTCCCCCAATTTTTGAATGTGATTATCGCATACCAGAGTCCCGCTTCGCTTCCCCAACGGTGCGAATCAAAGTGCATATATGAAGTTTGCCACATCAGCTGTTCCAAAGCAATACGTAATTTTCGAAAGGGTATAGTGTCAATGAACACATATGAAGTTTGAATTATTCCCTACTGCTCAATCAATTTGCCATCAAACTTTGATATAGTCTTTCAATAGTTATAATTTTCCCGAATTTTGAAAATTTCAAAGTGAACATGAGTATAAGAAATCATTAATTTATAAACTTAATTCTTAAAATAAGTCTTAAATGTTCTATAAAATGAGACAACTTTACAATAATAAAGGACTGAGTGCTTTAGAAGTATTTAGTACGCAAACGGGCTCTAACTGGGTGCTAAATAGAATTTGGCCAAGAATGTTTATCAAGATTCAAGTGCGCCAAATGAATAGCTGAATGGTCCTATGTTAACGTTTTTATGTGTTAAATATGTGACAATCGTCACTTACATGTGTTGGCAATGCCTTAAATTGATAAAAATAAAATAGATAACAAAACAACATACTCATACTGGCATATAGTTCAGGCAAATTCTGTTAATTGTTTAAGGAATTGAGAGATGATTTATTAGTAGAGGTGAATCTAATATTTTTAAATCCAATCCATTTTATCCAAATCCAATTAGATTGGTGGATTCATGGATTAATACATGGATCCAAATGACAAATTAGGGTTCAGTACCTGTACTTATATATTTTTTATATTTTGGTACCTGAATTTTATTTTTATAAGAAAAATGTCATTGAAAAATTACATTTTGGTAATTAAAAATTTTCAATATGATTTTTTAGTACCTAACCTTTTCAAAATTTACATATTGTTCCAAGGCTTACATGTCATTTGGATTCATGGATCAATCCACCAATCCATAAAATGTACACAAACTTACTACTTTGCCCCATCGTTCATGAAATTTTCATTCTAGCCTAAACTATGCACCAAGTTTGACATATTTCATTTACGTTACGTTGTTGGAATTTTAGTGAGTTATTGTAATCTTGCTTACATTTAAGGATTTAGGTTTTGATTGTCTTAATTTCATAGTCTTGCTTTACCCTCCCTATAATTCTTCACTACTAATTCAAATGAAATATTTATCGAACAATACAATTAAGGTTTGATTTTTTAACGCTTTTTAAATAATCCAAGTTTGACATGGAAGATCAAATTGAGGTTGAATCGAATAATCAAACCCGACCAACGGGTCGGGGAAAATGCTAGTTATACTATTTATGGCAGAGGGAAATATTACCAACATACTTGAAAGTTGAAACTGATTGATCAATCTCTAGCGTTGCATTGTTTGTTGTTGAGAATATGCTGTATCTATCTGTATGTATGTGTTGTTTCAGAAAATAATCCTTTCCATCCCATAGAAGTAAAGTAGTGTTGTGGGTGTCTGCTCCAACGTCGATACTATTCTCGTTTTGTCTTGTGCTTTGGGAAACAGCGGAGTCGTAGGCTGCTGCATATACTGCTTCAAAGCAAGAAACTAACTATAAAAGGTAAACCCTTCCCACACCCAAAATGATTCCAGAGAGGAAACAGAAGATCCCGGCTGCCGTGCTGAGAAGTTGGCGATTATACCAAAGGGGGAAAGAGTCTTATGTTCTCGTCCAATTTACTGGTAAAACCGGCATTGGAGATCAGACCATACGCTTGTCTTGTATGGAACTCGGGAAGCAAACAAACAGTACCTTGCTCCACGGTGATTTCAATGAGCAATGCTGTTAGCCTGAAGAAACTGCTAGTCCTAGTCGTGCATTCCCCCAACCCGGCCACGACGGGTATCTCAATCTTCGTACCTGCATCAAGCACATATCGGAGATGGTAATACCTGTGAGGATACTGGAGGGGTCTACCCACTCTTACATGTTATTTGGAAAAAATATACACAAAAATTTACCTTTTTTAAGATTCGACGAAGGGAAAGCACTTTACGAATGAAAAATAATGATAATAGAATGAGTTATTGAGTCTAATTAGTTGAATATTAAGTCTAAATAGTTGAAGAAAAGTCAAAATATGAGATATATTATAAGAAATTGAGATAAAATAGCAAAAAAATGGGTGGGGCACGACGAACCAGAAGTAGCTACCCATCCCCACTCCACGCTACTGTGGGTTGGATAATACCAGCCCCATCGTGAGTCAAGTCAGGTAATACCCAGAGGAGCAGGTTCAAATTGCCATTCCTATCGGCCATTGCCCCAGGCGGAAGCAAAATGAAAATACCAAATAAATAAATGTTTACTAAGTTGTGGGATTGATTCTGCATAATGATACATATTTTATTCTTAATATCTTGAACATTTTGCGATATTACGTTACGTTGCGTGTTTATATCACATGTCGGGTCCTAATACGTGAATGAAGTTTATGAGCGAGTTTCAAGACGTTTGAACGTAGAAAGGGACCAAAGCAGATCAAGGGAAGAAGTCACAATATGTAGAAGGAAGTCACGGCCGTGAGAACCTCTCTCCAAGCCTTGACATTTGACCAACACATAACGAAAGACATGACCGTGAGAATTCCATCCAGGCAGTGACAAATCGACTAGGAGGCAAGACAACGTCATGAAGTTCATTCATGTCACAACCCTGAGACTCATCAAGCCCCTTAAATGAAACGTTGCATATTGAAAATCACGACCATAAATCCATTGCACGACGATGACTTCAACCGTGACTTTGCAACTACTCGAGTATAAATGGATTTTTGTGATTTTTGAAGAGGGTTCGGTGTTTTAGTGACCATAAATGAAAGAGCGATAACCCTAGATACAACGACTTGAGAAAGTTCTTGGAGCTGTTTTGGCAATTCTTTCACAATTGGATTTCGGAAATGAAGTTTTTGAGCGGGAATTGAGATCAAAAGAAGAATCTCACCACCACAATGAAGTTTTTCCTTTTCTCATATGTGTTTCCCTCTCTCTCTCTCTCTCTCTCTCTCTCTCTCTATATATATATATATATATATATATATATATATATATATATATATATATATATATATATATATATATGGTGCCTTCTACGGTACCCCGGGTGATATTCTGGGTACCGCATACCTTGAGTATGAAAACGTTATCTAGACCTCGAATTAGCAGGATTTTTGGGCATGATACTATACCCTAACCCTTAATGAGTGAACCCTAGGTCCTAATTATCTAAATTATAAGATATAAACCCTAAGATTGTGCATTGATTTTTTTGCCTATATTTGGACGAATCATAACCGTCGATTATTGTTTCTAATTAAATTGATCTTGGGGTATAAGATTTAGAGAATTAAGACCTAAATTTTATCTTTAAGGGTTAGAGTATAGTATCATGTCCGAAAGATCGGTCAATTCAAGTTCTGGATAGCGTTTTCTTACTCAAGGTATGCGGTACCCCGGATTTCACCCTGGGTACCGTAGAACTCCCCAAGATCAATAATCGACGTGTGAAATCCGGGGTATCGATCACACGAGAGTGAATTGATTCACTACTTTGTATTGAATTTTGATCCAATAGAGGATATCTAGAGTGCATTGCCTTGATAGAGTGTCTTAGCTGAGGATAAACTTCCTCTAACCCGTCTATTCAAGAAGGTCTTGATTGCTTTACTCGAGGTTCAAAGCTTATTAAGGATTCTCCGCAATTATAAAAATTGAGTGAAACGAACTAGGGAGTAAGCAATCATTAATTTGACAAGAGACTAGAAGAAATAATACCAAAGTGACTTTTCTCCAATGCGTTGATAACTATAAGTTGTTTACTTGATTTACCTTGAATGTGAACTGCTAAATAATTGCCCTAATATGAGTGATAGTAACTATAGTGACATGATGATTCAATATTAAAGTATGTGCCACTATACTGCAATTCATTTCATTGTTCACTTGGCCTTTGTTAGAGCATCCATATTAATGCAATTACCACCTCAATTTTTTTGCAATCCACCTCAAATCACTTTTATTAACCTACATCAATGCAATTAACTTGCAATTGCATATATAATTAAATATTATGTTTAAAATATATACAATAAAGTAAAAGAGAAAAGAAAATAATAAAAAAATCTCCATTTTTAGGTCTTTTTGACTTGCATATGCAATTGCATTTGTTGCAAGCTTGCCAATATGCAATTGGTAGCCATGTCAATGCAATTGGTTTTGCAATATCAAACACCCATACCATGTCATCTTGCAATTTAGATTGCAATACCAATGTGGATGCTATTAGGAGTAGTAGTCAGTAGGAATCAAGTTTTTGCTTCGTTGTCGGGCAATTTTCTAGAGTATTAGGAAAGGATAAAGTCTGTTACTTAATCTTTACTTTTCTTGCATTTCCCACCTTGGATTTTAACAGTTGGTGCATTTTAGTGTGTGCAGGTATTAGTGCATGACCCAAAGCCAATCGAATGAATTAGTGCCTCTTGACAACGAAAATCAATCCAACCCTGCGAAGCTTGAGATGGGAAAGAGCTTTACACCTACCTTTTGAGCAAGCAGAGGGAGAAGCAAAGCTCACAACAATGGCTGAAGGGCAACCTGAAGCTGAGAAGACCATTGAGTACTATCACACCACTAAGGTTGATGAGATACGTCCAATATCTTACATCCTTTGATCGTCGCCAACAATTTCGAGATCAAGACCAATGTTATTTTGATTATCCAAAGTTCCATACAGTTCCATGGTCTGAAGAATGAGGAGCTTCACGAGCATATCCAGAGATTCCTGGAATTGGCTGATGGGATAAGGTGAACGGAGTCCCACAAGATTCCCTCAGGCTGTATATGTTCCCCGTCTGAATTCCTATTTAACGCCCTAACTTTTAAATTTAACGCCCTAACCTTACCAAATAGGCGATATTACCCCAATCACTAAAACGGCAACACATGTGCCCAATCCCTAATTTTCCCCATCGCCTTAGCCCTTGATCTCCTCCGCCTGTGGAAGAAGAAAAGAAAGAACCCCCGCCTGCCACTGCTCTGCCTACAGTTGTTGCCGGAACTCGAGGAGGAAGAAGGGATTTGACGCCGCCCACCTCCTTTGCCGCCGCTGCGAACTCGAGGGGGAAAAAGGGATTCGACGACGCCCACCTCCTTTGCCGCTGCGCGAACTTGAGGTGGAAGAAGGGATTTGACGATGTCCACCTTCTCTGTCGTCGCACCGCCACCGCCGCAAACTCAAGGTCGCCCACCTCTTCGTCTCCCTCTAAATAATCATATGGAGACACCCAAGGGATTTTTCCGGAAATGAAACAGGAAGAGCGAGAAGAATCAAAGGCCAGAAAGCGATGGGAATTAAAACTTGATCGAGAGGGGAAGAAGATGAAGAAGACTATCTGCTGAGAGGGGGAAGAGAATGCAGTTGCGACATCGAACGACATCGACTCACAGGGCGAACGACGGAGAGGGAGAAAAAAAATTCTAGGACGAGATTTGGTTACAGCTTAGAAATATTTTTGAGGCAAAATCGTCAAATTACCTAAGTTAGGGCGACAAATTTAAAAAAGTTAGGACGTTAATTAGTACCTCTCTTTCTTTAAGCATGCTGGCAAAGAAGTGGCTTACCAATTAGCCACCCAATTCTATCACTTTGTGGACTAATCTACTCGATAGGTTCATGAGCCGCTACTTAGGAAGAGAACGAGACGTTGAACAATGCTTGAGTGAAACGAACTATGAAATCAGCAATCATTAATTCAACTAGTGATTAAGGTGGATCAATACATCATTGACTTCTCTCCAGTCGAACTAAGATCAATTTACTTACTATGTTGTTAATTCTGAGTCGTTCACTCCATTTACCCTGAATTGCTAAATAATAGCTACTGACTACGAGAGAAGCGGCAGGATGGTAGGGAGTGTTGTTTTTGGTGTGGAGCGGCAGAGCAACAAAACCGACTAGGTAGCGAGGCAGACAAGTGCACGTTCTTTTTCCGGTTGCGGCATTATTGAGTGCCTGCGGACTCTGATTGCGGTGGGCAATCAATGCTCCAGTTCGTCCACCTGTCTTACGAAATCCGCTGCTTCCCAACTTACCTGACCTGACCTGTCCTGGCCCCCACTGGAAAAAAGCCTCGCAACCAAACCCATTTTGCCACGTTAACCATAGCCTGTGCGAGTAGGCTGCCTAAACAGACAATGATCGAGTGGTTACTAACCAACACACCCGTACCAAAGACTCCATCATCTATCTATATGACTACTGGATCTCATCCACACGCGCAGAGGGGGAGAACCAACCTTGACACAACTGTATCTGAAGAGGAGAGAGCGGTGTTTGCAGATCCACCATACTTCTCAACTGCAAAACGAGCTAGGTTGACATGACATGAGAAACACATGGTATTGGTAACTTACTTCATCAATGGCATAGCATCCTAAATCTGCAACCACTGAGAAGAATCTGTCAAACTTGGATTCCCATACGAGTCAAATATCTTACATCCCTCCTTAACCACTTACATTCTTCCATGACCAAAAACCAGCTGCAGTATTGGTTGGCAAAATGATAATGGCTTTCTTGAGAGTATTCTATATTACATGTACAACAAACTTAAAACACAGCATTCAGAGACTGTTTCGACTTTCAGGAAGAGCATCTGTTTGTTTGTTTTGTTTACTCGAGCATTGACAATAACCAACAAGTAATGAACAAAACGAAAAAGAAGAAAGAAAAAAACATATTATCAGGCGTACATTGAGAGCGGGAAACTCTGTAAGTGACTCATATCCTGTCACCCGAGCCACCAAGACTTTATCCTTCCTACTAACTCTTTCTTCTCAAGTGGTGAATCACAAGAGGCGTCCCTTCAAATAGATCAGGTACATAATTCTCCAGATCTTCTGGTGTGAACTTTATGTACTTCCCTGAATGCTTCCCGCTCTCGAGATGGCTTCCAAACCGTCCCAAAAACGCCCGGTAAGCAGGTATCACCTTTTCAGATATAGAGATTCTTAGCTCTTCGCGGAGCTGAGGATCCGGGACCTTCCATCCTGTCTGAACCCTGTATATATCTTCGAAGCATGCGTTGAAACTCTTAAACCTCTCTTTCAAAGCCACCCTCGATGCACTACCCGAGCTCCCACCAATCCCTTCATCCTTCAAACATGACAAAGCCCTACTCCAAGCAGCCCTAAGATAAGAAGTCGCGTACTGACGTATCTGGCCACGGCGTTTTCGAACCCACTGATCTCCCACCACCTTAATGAGTTCCGAGTCTTTTACTTTCTGCACAATGTACAGGATATTGTTCATAAGGAATATGTAGTGCATAGCACCATCCTCGTATAACTTAGATTTCTCCTCCAGATTTGACTCCAGGATCGACAACAGGGCCAAAACCCTCCTTGATATTGGAGTTGCATTCTCCTCACCATCATCAGTATGTGAACCCGAGCCACCACTAGATTCATCCTCATCACTCTCCGCAAAGAGGGAATTCAATGTATGGCTATAATCCACTACTAGTTTCACATAGTTCATCACATACCGTGTAAGCGGATGAATCTCCCCGCTTAACATAGGCTTCCTGGAACTCTCGTTCTGCACGGCGCTCTGAAACTCTGAGAAAGTCCCTTTAGCAGCTTCTCCAAGTCCAGATAGAACACCCTTTGCCTCACCACACAAGAAACCATCTGTCACCATCATCTCCAAGTCTGGAATAACAACACTCAGTACATCATACATATCCAAGATCCTAAAGAGTTTCTCTGATGATCTCCTCCCAATAGCAACAGCCTCCCCAAAATTCAGCAGCTGCATTATACACCCTTTAGCATTCTCATTGAAACAAATCTCCCTAGCGGAATCGGAGGTGCTGAAGATCTGATCACACAGCCTCTTCTCCCCAGTGAGAAGAACCCTTACTCCAATCTTCACAGCCTGCACCCATTTCTTCATCTTCTCATCCAAGACTTTCCATTCAATCCTCTGAACCTCTTCTATGCTAAGCTTCTCAACGCCCAAGATAGCCAAACACTCGTCCAAAACCTCCCTCCTGACACTAGAGTAAACCTGAACACACTCTTTCTCGTACCCAGAACGGATCATTCGATCAGCGATCTCCCTCAGCTCCCCAACAGCATCAGGGTTAATCAAATCCACACAAATATCATCGCCCAAACTAACCCCCCGCTCGTGGAAATAGCCGCTGCCACGAGCGCTATCGACCTCACCGAAACTCTCGAATTCGTCGTCGATGATCTCCCCCTCGTTACCCACAAAGGAGAGAGAAACCCTGCGGATGGATCCGTAGAGCCTTTCGGCATCGAGCGGGACAGTGTTCCTGGTGAGGATGTGGCGAAACTCCTCCTCGAGCCTGGTCATAGCAACCTGGACGGCGGTCTCGGCCCGGTCGACGGCCTCGATGCTGGCATCCTTAAAGGAGAGGTCGTCGAGCAGGTCGAGGACCTCGTCAACGGCAGTCAAGTAGTCGACCGCGTCCTCGGGACAGTCGCACCAGGACGGGAGAGCGGTGTGAGACGAATCCCAGCGCATAATGACCTGCTCGGCGGCGTCGAGCTTGGAGCGGGCCTTGCGCTCGTCGTCGTCGATCAAATCGGTGATGTTGGAGAGGCGGTTGTCGAAGCTGGAGAAAATGAGGAGCATGTCTTCTCTGACGTTGGCGGGCGTGTTGAGGCTCTTGACGATCTGCTGCGCGGTGGCCATGACCCGATCGTCACCGCCGCCGCCGCCGAGGCTGGTAGTGGTAGTGGTCGCCATCTGGAAGTGAGCGGCGGCGGGGCCTGCCTTGTTCACCACCTCCTCTTCTGGAATCTTAGGGTTAGTGAGGAGGGCAAAAGGAATCGGATTGGGAGAGGGAGAGAAATTGGAGGAGGGATCAGAATCGCGGAGGAGGAGGAGGGATCATATCTCGGCTGGTTTGTTGTGAAGCGAGCGAGGAACTGGAGGGCCGGCTGGAGAAGAGAGAGTGATGGAAAAGTCTTTTTCTGTTTTTCTTTTTCCTTTTTCGGTGTTGGTAAATAGTTTGCTGGGGGCGAAGGAAGATGCGCAGCGTGGAAAGAAAATGAAAGAAAGACGAAAAAGAGCAAGCGGATATTGGGGGGACGGAAATGATTTATTTTGGAGGAAAACGGAAAAAAGCCCAAGAGACCAAGAGTGATTTTTCAGCAGATTTGTCAATCCGGTTTAGTCCGTTGGCACGGTCAAGCAACTAATACATGTGCTCTCTTTCTTAAAAATTGAACCTCCTTCCTTGTCAACCAATAAATTCTCTTCATACGATCTGCAATAGTGCAGCAATTATGCACTTAATCCTAGGGGTGGACATCCGGTTCGGTAAACCCGAACCGAACCGGACCAAAATCAAACTAAATCGAATCGAAATCGAATTATTCTTGTTCGGTTCATAATTTGGAAGGCAAAACCCAACACTTCGGAAACCAGGGTCTGCCCAACCGAAGTCCGAAGTCCGAACCGACAAACCGAACTTACCCAAACCCTAAGCCCACAACCCCAACCCCACACAACCCCAAGCCCGCTATATCTATTTTCCCATTTCTCTAGTCAAACCCTTACCCACCCAAACCTCACAGCAATCAACAGTGGAGGGGGTGAAGTTTGGTGGCGGTCCCTCGGCAACGAAAGAGCAGAACGGCGGCGGTCCCTCGACGACCCCACCAGCGATTGCAACAATACTCGAGCTCATTCAAGATCTGCCAGATTCGACACCTTTGCCACGAAACCAAGATCTGCTCGAGGCCATCGCCGTTGTTGCTTGTCGCGTGTTGTTCTCTCCGTCAATTGCCATCACCGGGTGCCCAATGCAGTTAAAAGCGCGATTCTACCTAGAAGCGGAAAATGGGTAAAATCGTAAAATGTAGAATCAAAACGTAAAAGCGTAAGTTTTTTACGCACCCTCTAAAATAGCTAAAATATGTTAAAATAGCTAAAATATGTGAGTGTGTAGATTTTAGATAAGTGAATAACTACATGAAATTCATAATTAAAATATAATATCTAACACATAAACTAATTTGTGTTGACTCAAAAGTAGACAAAACTCATAACATCTTAATAATAAGCTCATAAGCGTAGATCGTAACCTGTAAACGAGCTTGAGAATCCAAATTCTCATAAGCTGGTTTGATTTTACATAATTACATACGATCAATTACCCATAAACTTTTATCGTAACCCAGGTAAGAGCCACAGGTGAAAATTAAGGGAGAAGGCTGATAGAAGGTCAGCGGCTGTTGAGAATACCATTATGTGTCTTTTCAACCTAATGTGAAGCCCCTATCTCGACACTAGTTGTAGAACGAGTGATGAATCATGTTTTTATTTTTTTATTTTTTTGCTGATATGTCTCCAAAATTACATCATTTTGGGTCAATTAGCACATTTTTATGAGATGATCAAAATCATATAAAAACGCTTCAGAAGCAATTTTACCGATTTGAAGTGATTTTACCGATTTTACCCATGTTTTTGCCAGTTTTTGTGACTAAGCGACTTTAGGTAGAAACTGAAACGTATTGGTGGCCTCGATATGTAAAAACATAATTTTTACGTTTTAATGCGCGATTTTGACTACACTGCTGGTGCCCTTGGGTTCTCTCCGTCAATCGCCGAGTTCAGAGATCAAAGATGGAAAAAAGAAATCACGGTTGCGTTGGGCTTTGAGGAGGGAGGGAGGAAGAGAGAGAGAGAATTTGGTTTGCAAAAATTGTAAATGGGGAGATAGGGTTAGTGGGGTGGGGGAGAGACTTTATGTCTGGAAATTTGGGCGTGGCATCAAAACCGAACCGAATCGAGATATATTTCGGTTCGAATTCGGTTTGCTCTATGAGCTATTTCGGGGACCCTATAATCATCTGTTCGGTTCGATTTGAACCGAACCTACCGAATGCCACCCCTACTTAATCCATCTCTTCATGTCTTCCTCACTTTGGATTTCTTCTGATTGCTCTTTCCCCCTTCTTCTAAGTTAAAAGTCCTCAATATATCATATTAGGGGACAAATAGGGTAAGCTTCTTCTCTTCCTCTTTACTTGATGGATTTTTACTTCCGCTTGTTCGAGTAAGTAAATTAATGTCAGTGGATGTGAAAGTCTAAGGAATAAGTTTCAAATTCTAGGGATTGAAATGAGATGGAGACGAAGATGAAGAAAGGAATTCGTAAGTTAGATTAAAACGAAAAAGTCAACGAATATTACTGACTTTTTAATCTGACGTGAGCTTGTGTTGGGCTTGACCAAGATGGATGCCCACAAACAACTAAGTGAAGAATGTCTGGACTTTAGTTCAATCAGCCCAAACACCAGAGTTGTGAGAAGAGAAAAGGATTTCTTCTTCTCCCCTGACAAACACCGAAAACAAAAATAGAGGATCAAGAACCAAAGGGAAGAGGCATAGTAAAATGGAAATAACACAGTGAGATTTTTAAAGAGGTTTGCCACCGGGCTACTCCTCGTTACGGGACAGTACCACTACGACGAGAGACACTTTTGATTTTTTTTACTCGAAAAGAAAGAAAACTTATAGATGATAGTGAGAAAATCAAAAGACACAACTAACATACCCAAATCCTCGCAGGAATTTGTCACACCCTTCGATCTTCTAAACCTCTAACTCAGTACAAATCGAAGCCACTGATTAATTCAACCCTTTGCCCTTTACCACAAAGAATTCCTATCAAATCGGAACATTCTTGTTCTACACAACAATTTATATAGCTTTCATCAAAGTAGCCGTTGCAATTTGAATAAACCCATAAATGGAAGGCTTTGTTGTGATGAAGCTTGATTTCCTTTGATCACTTAATTTGATCCCCCTTGATTTAAGATTCAATCCGTCCAAGGTCAATTCAATATGCTAACTTGATAAGTACTGATTTTGTCAATCCAACAATGGAGGGGTCTTTATTTCTGGGTATTGCTCGATTAGTTCACATCGATTGTTTTCTTCTTTTTTCTCTTATTGTGATTGATTGATGCACAATGGTAATAGTTTCAATGGTGAAGAGTCTGAAGCGCAAGCGAAGAGGATTGCATGCAGAGAGCGAGAGCGGCTAGGAATGGTGTCGAGTTCTAACAGTAGATTGCCGCCAACTTGGGGGCGACAAGAGATGATTCTGACCTTCCCTTTCTACTGATTGTAAATGAAGCCAAGTCCGCTCGGTACTCTCTCATTGGTTCATAATGCCCGAGCTTAACCGAGTTTTACTGTGTTCGGGCAGAATATTTACTGGACTGCTGGCACCCATTTTCATGGACGGGTCTGGGTTGATCTGGGTCAACCAGTTGGTCGACCCCCGAGCTGACAACCTTGTTTTCTAGTGACATAAGTTTTGAGCTTTTCTTACATCTTGTATCCCACGTCAAACTTTATTACTCCAAAGAAGCACTTACATTATTCGATCGAAGTTGGTCACAAAGGAACACAGGAGTTCCATTTCCCAAGCTTTTCACTAGCCCCATCTAGTCTTTGAATGTGCCATAATGTGGTTGTTTCATTAGCAATTGTCTACAATGTAGTCATTCCCCCACTGCACTCTCTAAGCTTCTTTCTTATAATCGAGTATATAACCTCCATCTTAGTGAGGCCGACATCCAAATTTATTGTTGTATGCCTTGCATAATCATGGATTCCTATGTCTACTTCCAATTAAACAGTTGAGTGTTTCACTTCTTCCACAAATACAACAATACCATCGCCCATTTGGAAATTATCTTATCGTGATGACACATTAAAACCTACATAACCCACTTAGTTACATTATTGGTTGTCATGAATGAGAAGCATGTCTACATTGCGGAAGGCCTCCAAATCCTACACGCTCACTGATACTCCCCAAAGAAGTGGATGTTCATCTCCTATTGATCATTAAAGGGCAGTTCAGGCTCCATTGAGGAACTCGATGGTTGATCTTAAATCCAGTTGGCAATGCATCTCTAGTGAGTCGCTAGAAGAAGTGCTTGACTTTAGACGATATATTCAGCGACATGATACGTCTTCACATCTCCTTTGAACCCATATCTTCTAGCTCATGCTCTTTTTTCTTGCCCCTTATCCTGGTTTGATAACCTTCCCAATTCCCTCACTGCATATTCTCCCATCTTAGACTAAGCCCATATTAGTCAATCCTGGATAGTGCTAACGTGCAGCGAAATTGTGTGAATAGTAGTCGCCACCAATGCAGTCAAAAGCATGATTCTGCCTAACAACAAAAAATCGGTAAAATCGTAAAGCGTAGAATCGTAAATTTTTTTACGCATTCTGTTAAGATATGACATGTACTATGCAAAATGTGAGTATTTATATTTTAGATAAGTGAATAAATACATGCAATTCATGTTTAAAATGTAATTTCTCACACATAACCTAATTCGTATAATTTCTAAAGTATAGCAAACTCATCACAACCTAACAATAAGTTCATAAACATAGATCGTTACTCATAAGCGAGCTTAAGAATCCAACTTCTCACAAGTCACAAGATATTTTAAGTTTACAAAAGGACATACGAGTTTAATACCCAAGTTCTCGAAATCAAAACACACAAATATTGTAAAAGATAGAAAGAAAACTACATTAGTTCATCGCCTTCAACATTTGCATCCAAATCATCATTATCATCATCACCATCACCGCCATCATAATCACCATCACCATCAAGTGGAATATCTTATCCATGTTTACCATAA